GATCCTGCAGAGCATGCTGGACGTGAGGAAATGGTGTGAGTCGACAGGGAAGTCAATAAGGGTGCGAGTCTGAAGTGGAACTTAAGCTCACGGCTGAAAACACTTTGAAAAGCACTGGCCACAATTAAGCACTTAATCAGGAGAGAGCTGCAATTTTCTGAGGCTCCAAGGACAGAAATCACAAAGTACAGATCCAGAGATAGGAAGGAAAACGTCTCTTTGGCAATTAAGACCCGTGCTGCTCAGGGGCTGGAAATGGTGTCGCTGAGTGACTTTTTGTTGCACGGTTGATACACTGAATTATCACAAACGTGAGCCGTTGTGCCTGAACTGCCACTCGAGGAGAGAAACTGCCCCTCCCGTGCAATCGCTGCTCTGCGAGCCGGCTCCTGCTTTCCCTTCTTTAAAACAGCAGTGCAAATTGTCTCCTTCTCCTCCCCCAGGAAATGAGGTGCTGGCCGAAGGACCCCTGCAAGCATTCCAAGGATAAGAGGCTTCCCAGGCAGAGTTGTGGCCGCACACAGATGCAATCCACCGCCCCGGAGAGGAGATGCAAAGGCCCCGAGGAAGGTGCTGCTCCCACAGGACTTCCTGGGGCACCTGCCCCGCTGGTTCTGGCGTTTTGGGACTGGTTCCTCCTCTGTGCTTCCCCCCGCGGGTGGATGTGGGTGGGGGTGGGTCGATGCTCTCCCCGCTCCAGCTTTTCCCTGCCGGGGGAGCTGTTCTGTGCCGGGACTGCCGCAGCCCCAGCTCTGTGTGTGAGTGTCTCTGCCCTCACCCTCTGCAACCCCAGCCTGTCCCCAGCAGACCCGCGGGCAGTGCTCGGTGCTGTGCCTGCTGCTCTCCCCACTCGCTGCACACTCGATTCCAGACGACGTTGTCGAGGTTCCTCGTCGATATTTTACTTTTTCATTAGAACTGTGGCTTGTCAGAACTCCTTGTTGCTTCTCCAGATGCCAATAAACACGAAGCCAATCTCCACCAGCGTGGCTCATCTTCCTTAGAGGACCTGATTCAGTGTCTCCCGGAGTCAATGTGAATCTTTCCACTGTTTCCAGTGGGTGTCAAGTCCAGCTCTTGTTTCGGCTGAGATGGCAGGCGCCGGCTCTGAATGGGCTTTGAGTGCTGTACACGGAGCACGAGGGGATCCTTGTTCATCTCAAGTCCCCCAAGAGCTCTCTTAGCAGCGAGGGTGAACTCATCCCAAATAAATTCAGATGAAACCCTTGCATCGCACCGCGTTACATTTTGGGTTTGAAGGGGCGCAGACAAAACCTGGATTGCTGTGACTGCAATTGCCTCTGAGAGCTCTGTGGTTTTGTGCAGGCAATTTAGGAGGTGGAGAAGGCTGGAGTGGTGTGTATGGTTTCTTAAAGGCTGAGAATATCGATAAACTTCGTGGTAAACCGGGTAGCTGAAATATTTTTAGTTCCTCCACCGTGGTGTTCGTTCCCAGAGGTCCACAGAGCAGCGCTAACACAGCCAGTGGAGCAGCTAAGGGTGGCTTTTATCCTCTGCTGACTAACACGCTGCAGCCAGATGGAATGGAATAAATCTCTTCTTACACACAGCCAAACCAAAACAAATATTATGCAATGATTAAGTGGCAACCCAAACAGAAGCAGGCGTCCTGTGGGCTGAAACAGGAAATCTTGGGTTACAAAACTCAAGATATGTGAATTTAATTTGATTATATATTTGATGGCTATCTGGAGTGGGCCATGAATAATTGATGAAAACTAGAAAAACTGCTGTTTACCTTTAAAATCAAGCTGAAGAAAGTAGGAGCTGAGTGTTTAGGAGCATAATTGCTGTTTGCATGGGTCACGTGAGAGGTCCCCGCTGTCCCTGGTGGTGACCAGCAGCGTTAGCTGATGGAAAGGCAAAAGTGGAATTCTCCCTGTCTGGCTGCATTAGTGATTTAACATCAATTAAGCGAGGAGGAGGAACAGCAAAGTTCTTCAGCTCCTCTGGGGCTGAGCTGGAGCAGGAACCTCCTGAAACGTGTTTTCTACCTTTACCTGGTGCAGAGTGTGAGCAGAACCTGACACTGGGACTAAACTTGAGGTTGGAAAAGACCCCCAAGATCACCAAGTCCAACTCCTCGTGCTCTGCAGCTCCAAGTGCCTCTCTGGAAGATGCAATGACCTGAACTTTGCTGGCGGTGCCACTGAAACCCGGGTCCTTCCCACTTCATTCCAACTGGCAGAGGGCAGCCCTGGGTTAGATTTTGGGAGGAGATTCTCGGCTGTGGGGCTGGTGGGGCGCTGGCACAGGTTGTCCAGGTGCTCCACATCCTCACTCACCACGGAGGGGGCTGCAATGCCTGGGGTTACCTGGCAGGGAGTCCTTGCTGAGGCATGGAGATAAAGGCAGAAGAGGGAAGACGGGAAACACTCTTAAAGCAAAATTATCATAAAACTTGGATTTATTCTGAGCGTTGGAAGGAGAAAACAACCCAAGGCAGGAGGGGAGGGAGAAAGCTTTGGTTGCTTCAGGAAGCCAAGGGGAGTTGTGCAGAGCGTTGTTCCAGAGCTGTGACCTGTGCAGGTGTGTGGAGAAGGGAATGAGCTGCTCTCAGCTGAGTGTTAAACCCCACAGGCTCTCATGGAGACATTCCAGCACCCACACACCCGAGATCTGACCTCAGCTGCATCCCAGGGAGGCGTGAGCAGGGGGGGAACAAAAGCCTGTCTTTAGAATATTTTAAACTTCTTAACCCAGATGCAAAGCACAGGTAGAAATGAAACAGCAGCCCGAGGATCTCAGTAAGAAACCAAACAAATGGACTAGATGTGGGAAAACAGCCTGGCCTTGTTCACTGCTTTGCTCCAGCCAGAGGAGGACAGAGGTTAGCAGTGATTACTCTTGGGTTCCTATTTGGATACTTCCACAATGGTATAACAGCCAAATGGAAAGTCTGGACTAATTTAGGCTTTTTTTTTTATGAGAGTGGCAAAAAAAATTATTGTGTGTTAGGCCAGATGGCTTAAAACAGGCCACAGAGTTGATTTATTCCTTTACAGATGCTGGGGTAGCCAGGAAAACAAACAAACAAACAAACAAACAACAAAATATTTTCAAAGTTTTCCAAAAGAAAAAGGGTTCTTTAATGCGGTTAATTGGTGTCTCTGGGCTCTGATGGGGTCTGCTGTTTAATCATCAGGTTTTTATTATTTACAGGTTGCAAACACAGAAGCACTTGGTTCAAGAAGAAGGGAGAAGAAGAAAAAATGATCCTGAATGTCCTGGACTGAAATAAGGCAAAATTACTTTAAATATTACCATTTCTCTGTCTTTTTAATCCATCCTGTAATCCATCTGCCTTCACTGATTTATTTTCCCCAAGACTTCATATCAGAAGGGGGGTTGTAGCTCCTGTGTTTGGGCAGTGCCCAGCACAGGATGCCCCAGGAGGGGATTGGGTACAGAATGAGTGATCATTCCTCCTTCTCTTCTCCTTCCCTCCTCACCCCCATCAGCTCCATTTGCTCTGTGTTGGCTCTGGCTTGAGTTTTATTTTTGCCTCGTTCAGAAACACTTCCCTTAAGAGAACCAAAACACAAAAAGCTGGGGATGCTTCCATTGCCTTTTCCCCCCCATAATATGGAGTTTTAAGTGGCCTCACTAGAGAGGGACCAATCAAGTCCCCGCCTGAGAACCTCAGCAAACAGCTGCCACCCCAAGTCACCACTAATGACAACATTGAATCCTCCTTTGTCGTGGGTTTTCATCCAGCTGTTCCCTAACTCTGAAAGGGACCATCAAAGGCGAGTTCTGTGTTTATCCATCACTTACAAACCATCCCCCATAAGCCACGAGAGAGTTTTTCTTCTGCCCTTCAAAGCCTTTGTCTCTGGAAATCAGTGGTGAGGACTGCACGGGCTGGAATCCATCCTGGCTGCAATGCTGCTGTGGCAGGAGATGGATGAGGTGTCTGGCACTGCCAGCACCCCTGTCCTGCCTTTCCTGGTGTGTGTGTAAATCCCTGGGTCTCTCCCACAGGAGCACACGCGGATCCAGCTGTCAGTGCTCAGGATGGATGGGGCCAAGGATCCCTGAGGGTGGAGTGGGTGGCAATGGGTGCACCCACCACCCCCTCGGCTGCCTGGGGGGCTGAGGATGCATTTTGGTGGGAGATGCTGGAGGGGTGGGCTCCTCCAGCAGGGGTGTGTGGTGTGCTGGGGCTGTGTCCCCTCGGGCTGGGCTGCTCTGAGCTCGCCAGTGATTCCCTTCCCTTCCTCCCCAGTCAGCGTGGTGGGCACGGGTCTGATGGGCAGCCACTGCCTCTCTCCACCTGGGAGGAAGGCAGTGTGGGAATTCCAACCCCCCTTGGATACCCGTGGTGTGTGCTGAGCTCTGCGGACACCTCGGCAAAGGTGACACCCCGTTTCACCCCTGGGGCAGGGCGAGGCCGGGGGAGGAGCCACTTGTTTGGGATAAAATGAGTCTCCTGGGATCACCCCACGAGCTGTGCCTTACACCTGGCTCGGTTCTCAGGGCCATTGTGGGATTTTGAGAATATACCTGGGGAAGGAACCTCGAGGGTTGCTCCTCTGAAAGCACAGGTTTCAGGCTGATTCCTGCCACGTTCTCTGAGTTAATCACGTTCCTGCTCCTCTGTAGGCTGTGGAAGGAAAGCTGCAGCACACACTGGACTTCCTGAACCACTGGAGCGATTGTGGAAGTGTAAAGGGGAGGAGGAGGAATAAGCAAATCTGTCAGCCACACGTGACATGAGCTGCTCCTGCAGCAGGGAGCCCCCCCTGCCCCAACCCCACGGCTCTACCTGGAGGGGGCTGCCCCAAACAGGGCTGGCGACTGGTTTTACCCTGGCAGACATGGTGCCAAACCCTCCCCTGTGGTGTGGCAGGGGACAGGGACAGCACTGATACGAGAATATGAAGGATTTAAGGCCGCTTTTATAAAAAAGCATATTGAGGTTGAGTCACCTGGTCTGATCTTGGGTAAAGAATCATGTGTGGTTTTATCTTTTTCAGGAGTCAGTGACTTTCAAGCTTTTATGGGACAACTTTAACTGAAGAGGGGGGAAATAACGTCTGAGTAAGAAAACAGCTGAGAAGCTTCATGAGTGGGGAAGACTTCCAGGGATTTATTTTTAGAATCCTGAACAACTGGAGATGAACTCTTTTCCTTCAGACACCTCTTTCCAGCAAGACGTTTGTGACACATCCCACGAGCTGGGGGGAGAGAACTGCTCCATCCCTGCACATCAGAAGACACAATCACTTTTAAAAACCGTTTGTTTGTTTGTTTTTCCCCTGAAATAGTTGAAATAGTTGAGCCTGTTCAGCCAGACCCAGGCTGAGGCAGCGACAGCATGATTTGACACAATTTATTCTGAGCAGCTTTGCTTGCAGTTTTCATCTCACGGATAACTTTCCCCCTGAAATGGTGCTAAATCCCATGAAAAGCAGCAGATCCCTATGCAGGATCAAGGGACTCTGTTTGTTTAAGTGAATCTGTAACAATTCCAGGCAGGTTTGTCTGAGCTCTTGGCTTTTTACAGCAGACCTTGGATGTCTTCTGTTGAGAGCGTGGAGGTGATTCCTCGCGGTTAAATCCCAAATATGTAAGTGGAACAAGGGACCATCACACACACCCCACTCCAGCTGCTCAAACCTTTGTATGGACCAATAAAATATGTTAAGACAGAGTCTGATTTTTGTGGCTGGTGAGACTTGTGGAGCCTGTGGGAGGGAAGGATGCTGCACCCAAATTATAACCCACTCTGAAGGCTTAAATAATTTTTTTTGTTTGTTTTTTTTTTTCCAACTAAATGCTTGTTCTCTGCCCCTGGAGCATCCCATGTGCTCTGAGCCTGCTGGTCAATCAAGCACTGGGGAGGGGCAGGGGTTGGGGGCAACCTGTACCAGCCATGGGAGGGAGGGAGGAAGGGGCTGCTTCAGAGGGCTGTGGGGGAGCTGAAGATGGGGGGGGTCTCTCCTGTGAACCCCCCTGGGGTGGGCAGCACAAAGAATCCTCTGTGCCACTGGATGGTCTTTGAGGTCCCTTCCAACCCAAACCATTTTGTGTCTCTCCACAGAAGTATCATTAATTAATGGCACTGTGCAAAATGCAGTAAATTCACCAGCACTGGATGGTGAGTGAAAGTCATATTGATTACTGAATTAAACACAAAATTCAGTGGGTGAGAGATAAGCACAAAGCCTGTGAGGAAAACCAGATCTTTCTGGGGCTGGAAATGGTTTTGTTTGGTTGGGTTTTTTTTCCTGGGGAAGAACTGGGGATCCCCGTTCTGGGATCCAAAACTGAGTTTGGAAGGAAGGTGCTCGTCGTGCTGCACGCAGAGAATGGCAGTTCTCCAGCTGTGTCCCAAGGGCTGTTCTGACACAAAACGAGAGTAGTGACGTTCTTTTAAAGCTCGTTTTGGGTAACAAGGCAATCACAGAGGGAGGAAAAGCTCAGCTGAGCATCGCTGTGCCTCTGGTGTGGGGGGGACCTGCCAAGGGCAGCCGGAGGCGACCTTTGGCCTTTCCCAAAGCACTCTGGAGCTGGAGCATTCCAAAAACAGGGCCGTGCTGAGGCACCTACCTGTCGTGCTCAGGTGTCTCGTTCCTTCTGACCACGTGGGCTATCGGTGTCCCCCCCCCCCGTGCCACCAGCAGCAGGGAGGCGGCTGTCACTGTCACTGTCCCCAGCTGCCAGCACTGGCTTTGGGAGGGGGTGGGAGGAGACGGAGCGCTGGGAGGAAGCAGCGGACGCGCTGCCTCATCACCTCCGGCTCTCTGAAGTTCAATGCCATCCTCTGGCCGGTTTGTTTGCTCTTCTGGTGTGGCCGATCCTGGTAACGGTGTGAAAGAGGTGACCGCTCATCCCCAAACCCCGCCAGGGACAGGAGGTGCGCTGCTTGCCCACCAGATGGGTTCCGAGGGGCTGGGGGGGGGCTGCTGGGGGCAGGAGGGGTGGCAGTGCCACCAGCGCGGGTAGCAGGAGTCCCTGTCCCGCAGGAGTCCCTGTCCCGCGGTGCCGTGCCCCACACGAGGTTTGGGGGACAGACATCTCCGCGCCGTGAGCTCGGGGCCGTGTTTCAAAGAGGCATCTCGGGCCCCGTCGGTGCGGGGCTAACGCCGCTCCTCCCGCAGCGGGGTGAGGCGGGGGGGCTGTCCACCGCCCCCCGGCCCGTCCCTCCCGTCGGTGTCACCGGGCGGGTGCGAGGGTGAGCAGAGGGATGGGGGGGGATGATTCCCGACGGCGCGTCCCTTATCCAGCAGCGCCGCCGCGCGGCCACCCTGGCGGGAGGGGGGACACGCCGGGGGTCGGTACCCACCGCCCACCGCCTCGGCTCCCCCGGGGTCCCCCCCCTTCGCCGGTCCCCGGGGGGCGCGGAGGGGCAGCGGAGCCTCCGCCCCGTCCTCCGCCGGGCTGCGCGGGGCTCTGCTGCCTCCCCGCGGGCACGGGGGGGATGGAAAACCCGGCCCTCCGTCGCGGAGCTTCGATGAAAAAAAACCCAAACGGCAGCCCTCCCTTCAAAGCGAGAAACCCCTCGAGCGGCGCCTTTTCGGGGAGACCGGGGCGGGGACGGGGGTGATGTTCGCGGGGATAACGGGGGGGGAGCAACGCGCGAATACCCCGAAATACGGCCCAGGGGGCGCGTCTCGCCGCTCCAGCCCCGTCGCGGGGGCGGTCCCCCCGTCCGTCCCCCCACACCCCGCGGCCCTTTCGCCCTCCCCCCCCCCCGGCTCCTTAATAAACACCGCCGAGAATTGCCCTCACAGTCGGTAAATATTGGCTTAGCTTCCCATTGACCGGCTCCTTGAACGGCCCCGAAAAACCCACACCGGTCCGCGGCTAAGCCCAACAGTCAATAGGTGACGAGAGGAAGTTATTGCCGGGCTTAAGGGGCTTCCCGCCCATCCCCGGGCTCTCGGGGCGCCCCGGAGTTCCGACCCTGCACGGGGGGGCGGGAGGAGAAAACCGGGAAAACTGGGGAGGGGGAAAAAGGAAAGGCGGCGGGGCCTGGAGCCCGGGCTGGGCTGAGCTTCTCCGTGTGCCCCAAAGCGCCATCCCCTCCCGACGGGCGGCCCCGGTGCAGGAGAAGGGGCCCCCGGGGGGCAGGGGGTTCCCAGGGGGTG